ATTTGACAATAAAAAATAATTGAATAGTACACTCCAATGTGCAGAGTGTTGATGATACAAAATAAACATAGGAATACACTCAAATAGAAAAAGACAGTGCAATACTCTGAAACTAATCGCTCCTCGCTTGCATTCACTGGTTTATTGGAGCAATTGTAAAGTTTTGAAACTCTATTATCTCCCCTGAATAGAGTTTGCAGTGCCTTGTCATGCAAAACGAACATTATTTTTAGTTTTTAATTCTTTTAGGAAATAGACTTGCCTAGATTTAATCTTTACGCCCCAAATATTATTTACATCGGAGTTGCATCATAAATTGTACTCGGATTCAAACGACACAATGTCAATGACTTTATAAAAGTAAAAGCATATTGTGTATTGGCCTATTGGGTTTACACCTTTACAGGTTCATTTATTTTTAACTCTCTCAAGTCTCAACAGACAATCAGACATGCCAAATCCATTGATATGACAACTTCAAAAATCTTTTTTTTCGAAGCTAGAAATCATGATTTTTTTCAAATTTTTCCAGGGATATTTTGTTTTCTGCTCTCTAGACTCCCCCTCACGGCTCTAGTACTCCAGCCCTAGAATATAGACCTTACTGGCGTTTGGTGACACTTTGTGTTGCTTCAGTCACCTGCTCACGGCTCACCCCCCTAAAATTTCTGGCACCACCCCAGTAAAAAATATGAAAATCCGTCTATGCTTAGGGGAGGTGCATGACCTTTCAGGAGATGTGCAAAAATTCTTGGGGGAGGTGCAAAACGATCTCAGGGGGGTGCGCACCTCTCTACAAATCACACCCTCAAAATCCGGCCTTGATGCAAATAAATCACCACAGCTAGAAAGAGCATAGTAAAATAAGTAAATTATTTGTTAAAAGTTTGGTTGCAAAATGTTGTAAAATAGTTAATACAGAAAATATAGCCTTGCAAAGTTTGCAAATTTTGTATACTTTTGTACTGCATGCGAAAATTGCAATACAAAAGTATACGAAAAGGCTATAGATTTTCTACATTTTACAACATTTCACAACCAAACTTTGCAATTTTATTAATTTTAGTATGCCCTTCCCGGGAATATACTTTTTTTGCCAAGATAAAAAATTAGTCCATAATGGGAATTGTCTATTGGTCCCCATTACCTATTTTTGTGTCTCTAAACAAAGAGCTAGAGTTTTTGTTCCTCTAAATAATGATAAAGAGCTAGGGGGGGGGGGTGTCAAAATTTATGTTCTTGTTTTGCTTCTTAGGGGGGGGGGCTTTGAAAATTTTACTTGTCTTAAGGTGGCTCCCTACAGTTCTCTAAAATTCTAGGTATTTTGAGTAACGTTCGCTTTGAACCGAATTTATATTAGATACACTTAAGACAAGGCAATATGATCATTTCCAGGAAAGTTCAGAAGCTGTGTGCTGTCCATTTTTGAACAAATTAAAACAGTGTTCGTGTTGCCATGGCAACCATGATGTTTAATCTTTTGCACTTTTATTGTCTAATTTCACAATAAATTGACAATATCTATATTTTCCTTCGGTGAATTTTTCTGAAATTTTTTTTGAAGATTTATGGCCCATGAAGGAAAAACATCAAAATTTGAAGGGAATTTACAAATAAGTTTTCGAGATATTCGTGAATGACGATTACAGAAAAGTTATTTGTAGAATTTCTTAAAATTTGGATATGTTGTACCACTCGTCTTGTATAACAAAAATACAAAGTTTAAAAAAATTTCACCGAAGAAAACACGAGAAAATCATCGCTAAAATCGGCGTGGCCAGCATGAAAAAAAATCGACTCGACATGAGCACGATCTGCGCATGCGTGTAAATTGTAGTGTGTGGTTTATAGTGATTTCAACTTTTTGGCTTACAATACATACGAAAACAGATATTTCTGACTTGTTTGACATGAAAATAAAATATTAATCTTGAAAATACTAATAAACAAACACTATTATACGCATTGTATTAAATCCAGTGTTAGTTTACATTTGTTTTTGTTGTTAAAATCGGTGTGAAAACTTTTCAAAACATCGAACTACAAGTTTAACTTTTCATATAAAACAACTCATAACTGTTTTATTTGATTTAGCAGATAAAACGATACCTGTGAATTGAATTGATTGACAGAACTTACATAAGTTTCGGCGACAGTTCGCTACTGTTCAAGAGTTATAGAAGACGGTATCATTTCAGTTTGACAGTTCGCAACACAACAAGTTGAAAATTTTGAGCATTATGAAAGACAATGCTGAACGTAAATACGTAAAAACACACTAAAAGATTGGCTAAACTAGTTAATAACATACGTACTGTTCGAATTCACAAAAAATTAGAATTATAATGAAAAGCTGGAGCTTTCTTTGTAGATAAAAACACCAAAAAACTTACCGCGGCTTGTTTCAATATTTTTGCCGAACAGTAAACACGACGGATTCCACGCGCAGGTCGCGAGGATGAAGTCTGATCTATATAAATCGTATTTAAACTGTACTAACTGTAGGGAGCCACCTTAAGAGGGGGGCAACAAAAAATATTATAACTGTAGAGTTTCTCCTCAGTCTCGCCCTGTATAATAAACAATGAGGAGTCTCTTACTGTAATCAGTAATGAAACACATAAAACAGTTTGCATTGTGCTAAAAACATGGTCTTTAATAACTCTTATTAAAAGCATGGCCGTGAGCTTTGTGACCTACTGCGTGGGAAAGCTGGCGTATATTGAAGTTTGTTTCCCGAAAAATATTTGACAACACATCATGGTTTTTAATTATAATACTTGAAACTTTATTTTGATTATTAATTCGAATGAAAGTTATTTTGTTCTTTTGCCAAAAGTGACCTGTCAAAATGACAAGGTACAAATTTGACTGAACAACTCCGCATTCTGGCCAGACATTGTTTGTTGACCGGCCGTTATTTTGCGTTCTGTTACGCTGGCGCAGACATTCCAGATTATGAAAATTATAGTATGACAAGGAACTTGCAGAAGTATTTTCCACCAGTGTGTTGGTGTTTGTACCTGAACTACCTGTGAAAATTATAAAAACATTAAACACAGATGTTGTGAACAAAGGTCACTTATGGGTCCACAGAAAACCTCCACACCTTCCCCATGGAGGAACTGGAGGTTATCCACTTCCTGTCCTCTTTGGATGCCCTCAATATCTTACTGTTATCAGAAGTGGGTCCTCCTTGTTTTCCCTCCAATTGGCAAAAAGTTTCTCTGTGGACCTTTTCTGGAATGACCCAATGTACTGATGAAAAACTTGCTCAACATGTTGAAACATTTGCAATCTGTTTGAAGTAGTTCAAACACAAACAACAGCTGGTGCATCACTTTTCAGGGGAGGTGCAAAACTATCTCATGGGAGGCACTCAGGTGTTTCCCCTCAAATTCTGGCCATGATTAATACTGACATTTGTTTTCATATCTTATTTTCAGGTATTTGCATGGGAGATTGCAGATCAGTTACTGACAACAAAACAAAGCACAACAAGTTGTTTTATTGGAGCTCAGACAATTAGAATGAAGGTGAGAAAGGCCATTGCTGAGCAATATCAATAAAAAAATTTCCCAAAGCCCATACTTTCGGCAATGACGGGAAGACGTTACCTGCCAATGAGATACATATATTCCTGTGGCAAATAGGCACCGTCATCCTTATTCAAAGCATGATTACTCATATTGATATGCCACGCTTCTGAGCAAAGTCCTTGACCATAGCATTTGTTTGTTGGTAATTTGGTAGTTTGCGTTATTGTCAAAGAGTTTCCCTAGAAGCATGGCATATAAATATGAATAGGGATGACGGTGCCTATTTGCCAGAGGAATATGGGTTAAGTACTACATTAGTATTAATATTCTACTAACATTAATATTATATAAAACTCTACTACTAATTATTGTAACTAAAACTATACTACAATTTACAAAGCCAAAAACAAGTTATTGCAATCGTTCCTTAGCTATGTCCATAAAGTAGTTCTTTGATTGTATGCTAAAACTAAGAAGACTTAAACTATTAAGACCCAAGTGTAAATCACCTTCGGGTGAAATTGGCTACCTGAAAAGCGGCGACGGAGACAGTGATGGATTTAAAGCGATAGACCGCCTGCGGCCATCACAATATTCACATTTTTCTGTTTTATTTTGTCTCAGGGTTATATTTGAAGAATGCCTAAAAATAAACCAGTGTGGACTCCTGATGTGGAGCAGCATTTTTGGAATGCCCAGAAGATTTATCCTCCCTGCGGGTGCAGAAAGACATTTGTGCCGGAGGAAGGCAAGTCGTTCGGTAAGCGATCCGAGCTTTGGTCTTTTGATCATTCAAACTCGCGTTGTTTCATAACTTTGTCGTCTGGTATAGAAATAGCTGGCAACTATGTACTATACAGATTGAAAGCCTATGCAGGGAGAGGGGCGGTTTTTCAAACGTAAGTCGACGCTTAAGGCGTGAGACACAATAGGGGTCTGGGGACATGCAATTTTCCCCCTTCCCCATGCAATTTCAAGCGTTTTGGGGGGTGAGATTTTGCACAATTTCAAAGATTATAAAGTACATCAAGCACATGATTTTTTATGATCTTACAAACGTGCCTTCTTGCAGACATTTCACTAACAGAGAGTCGTATTAGTTTTAATAGCCTTTGAGTTTGGCTCATGAAATCCTTTGCAAATTGAAGTGATTACCCATACACAATTTCCTAAGCTTATTTTACATCATGAAATGTGGCTCTTCAGATTATAAATTACATCCAATGGCGGGCAAATTACGTCTGCATTTATATACATGTTATGTTTTGAAATCTTTGTGGCCACAGAATGTCTGTTTGACGATTGGTCTGTTCGCTTCTAATTGATTCTGAATAGCATTTTAAACAGCAGCTAAGAGCCTAAGGGGCGGACCATTTGATTTTTGAGGGGGAGGGGGTTGGAAGATTTCGAAAAAAAATCATGCAATCCAATGAGAAAGAAAAGAAATAATGCGCATACAATGGAGAAAAAGAAATATCATGCAAAAGAGAGCGCTCAAAAAAAATCCTAGATGCAAATCTACTGATGTTCTTCACTTCAATATTGTGTTCACAGGCTTGCAAGATTTTGCATTTTTGAGCAGGCATATTTGCTTAAAAGAACACGGGGTGAACAGTGGACAACATCACAGGGATTCTACCGCCTTTGGAGCCTATAATAGCCAGTGGCGTGCCCTGGCAAAATTGTTGCCCCCCTGAGAAAATCCGGGCTTAAGATATGTACAAGTTTATAAGTTATTTATACCATGGATTGTAAAATAACTGGATAGGAAACTTCCTGACGTCACAGTCTAAACCTAGTTGCAATCTGTGACGTCACGTGTATTGCCAAAGTTCTCAGCATTTTTGTTGTTTCGCTATACTTTCCGCTTTAAAAGAGTAATATTGAAGCATAAACTGGTCTAATTGTTTTAAAAACATGCCTAAGCCACGACAAAGTATTCAAGGTAAATGTTTTTCGTCTTTGTTTTGTATTTTTTTACATTTGTAGCTACGAAATTGGCGTCGCCAATTTTAACGAAATTTGCGATGCATTTTTCACTGTTTAGTGCATCAAATATTTGCTAAAATTGACCGGGAATACTTAGAGATTTCATCGTAGAATGGTCTAGTTATATTTATTTGCTCTTTGACTAAAATGTTTAGCTGTATTATTGCTAAACATGCCGTTTTTGAGAATTTGGTTTGCAACTAGGTTTCAACGCCATCATCCCATTGAAAACATTAGGTCACGTCAGCTAGTTTCCTATCCATGTATTTTATTATCCATGTTTATACCTATCTAATATGCATGGTAGAAAAAGTATTTTTAGATGGTTGAGTCTGTGTGCGTTTTTTGATAATATAGCTCCAAGTTGAACGTACTGTATATACGATGTATGTACGAAAATTATTTCATTAATTTTCATACGCTTCTCTCATACGCAATAGTGTGAGTTGGTCAACGTTTATTCATAAATCTGGCCTTCACCGTCATGTGTGTATTGTATTCTTGCCCAAGATAGTCACTTATCCGTGACTCGAACAATAGGGAATTTGCTATTGGAGGATTTGGTAAGAATACAATACACACGTGACGGTGAACGACCAGATTTATGAATAAACGTTGACCAACATAGATAATGTTATACTGTATACAGGGTGTCCCCCAAAAAAGAAAACTATTGAAATCACTTATTGTTAAAATTGAATGCCCTACCAAAAAGCTGAACGTAATGATGCGTAAAATATTGACAAGTGCATGATTAAAATTTAGTTAAGAACATCTCCTTGTAATTTGCGCGATTTTCTGCTCTTGAGTCTTGGGAATTTAAAGCAATCTCGTTCAGGCATACTCTGGGAACGAGATTGAATTTAAAGCAGCTTCTCAAATAGTTTCTTTATGCATAAAATTTACTTATGTCAATCATTTATGCACTCGTGGGAACCAACAGAGTGCTGAGGCATTCAAATTCTAACAATTGAATTGTTATTGGTGATTTCAATAGTTTTCGTTTTTTGGGGACACCCTGTACAGGGTGTCTAAAAAAAAACCAAAATCATTGAAATAACGTATTGTTCGAATTTCAATGCCGTAACACAAAGGATTTTGACAGGGTGATTAATTTGTTTTAAAAAAATAAAATATCTTTGTAAAGTGAACGTTTGTTTGCTCATGGGAATTTAAAAATGCTTCGTAAATTGTAATATACGTAATATGCATTCGTGGGTTTAGTACTTTATGCCTGACATAACAAGTTTACGCTGAGTATTACCATTCATTATAGCAGTTATGTCAATCTTTTATGCACTCGTGGGATTAACTTAGTGCTAGGGCATTGAATATCGAACAATACGTCAATTTCAATGATTTTGGGTTTTTTTGAGACACCCTGTATATTGATACCCTAATGAGTTTCACAGTCCATCTTCCCTTCGATAGGCTATGAGCAAACACAACGCTGGAACTGAACAACTGAAGTGCAATTAGGAAGATTTTCTGCTTTGTTCAACATTTTGTTGTGTCATGTATATTCAAATTAGTTTCGTATCATGACCTGTGTTTCTGTGCGATCATACTGTTTGTCGCTGTGCTTGTCTGCAGAAGTCATTTCAGAAGCTCTTCTCATCAAAAAATTATTCCTGTGAAAAACTCTCTTGGAGCTAAATTCTTGTTTGGTAAGTGAACAACTTTCTGAAGAGAAATTTTTATCTTGTTCATCTTAATTATTAATAATTATTTAATTCTCTTTTAGAATAAAGAACAAGTACAACTGCAGCTGTTCCGATGTTCATTACTTTGCGAGAACGATTATGAAATCTACGACTAAGAATTTATCTCGCCTTTGAATTCCTTGCGTGGTGGTGGCGTCGAATACAACGAAGAAGTGATTGGTTTCACAACCAAGTAAACCTTCTGTAACGCGAAGCCGTGGAGACTTTGAATAGTGGCCCAGTTTCAACACGACAACGAGATGGTTGCCGAAATGCTTGCAGCTCGCGACAGAACGCCAGATCAAAATCATTTCAATCTGTTGCGTTCTTCACCGTCGGCCAACTGCCACACGAATTGTGTCAACGCCCAGACCAGCATTCGTTAGAGCTCGCTCGCAGCAAGACCAGCATGTGCTTCGTTTATACCAACATCGTTCTGGTCGATTAAACAACGTGAACGAGATTATGACGCTGTGTCAACATGCTTTCTACAAGGTAAAACTTTTTTCATGATCATTTTAACACAAATACAACACACCGTCTTTAATTTTGATTTGAACTGCGATGAGAAATTTTTTTTGTTTCAAATAAAATAAAATTATTTAGTTATGCTGTAAGCGTTTGAAAAGTAGGAAAAAGTTGCGGATTTATAGGAACTCAACTGCCCGTGAAATACAACAAAAACGTTTCCGTTTCGAGCGAATTCCCGGTCGAGAATTGACTGGCATGGTTGGATATTTGTACATAACATATATTTGTACGACAATATTAAACTGATGTAACAACGTTTTTATTTCGTAGTTTTGCAAATGAAACCTCTCCAAGTTTCCAAGGTATTAAACTTGTAATCTGCGAGTCGACGCACCCTCGTGCGATGCAACCTCGTTCCCAGGGTCTCGCGCCGTTCTAAGAAAGACCCTGGGAACGAGGTTGCGTGCGATGCGCAAATTCGTTCGAAATAAATTTCTTTGAAAATCATATCTTGACAATGGAAACACTGCATGTCCCACAATGCCATGCAGTCATGTTCCACGAGGGAACTTTAATAAACCTTGCTTTAAAATACTGTACAAAATATTTCTATATAGATATTTTAATCTTTTATACCAGTATTCAAACCTGCAAAGAAGCTGTGAAAGCAAGATGAAAGCAAGATAGTTTGAGAGACGTCAAATAGTACTTCAAGACAAGTCAAAGTGTCGAAGTTTCGTTTCGAAGTTTACCTCGACCGACTTCAAACAAGATGCTTATAAAACAACGCATTTTAAGGTATATTTTCCCTTATATCTGTCGTATTCATATAGTTAAAGCTTTCCTATAGTTGCATGAATAGTCTACATGTTTGAATTCGAGTATTTGAAAGAAAAGTTTATGAGAAGGTTTGAAATTTGGCGATGATTTGCATGTGGTTTTCGAAACACGTGGGGCAAGCCAAGTATTAAAAGTTTGCTAAATGTTTTTGTTTTTCTTTAATGTTTCTTCCTTGTTATTGCTATATATATTATACATGAAATAAAAGAAAGCTCGTTATAAATAAGAGTGTATTTTTACTTTAATAGTCTTTCACTGCAGCGGTTGAGGTTTTGTACATTACTACATGTACAAACAAGCCCTATAAACCAATCCAGGGTGCATTTCATTACTAACAAAGTGGCTATTCGCACTGGAAGAGTATAGTACTATTATTATTAGTATATTTGCTATTTGTACTGCAGTCAGAATATTTAAGATAAACAGGTCTACCCCAAACCCTTCCTAATGTACGAGTCCAGTCGTGATCCCCCCCCCCCCGGCAACCCCTGGGGAATTTTCAAAAAATAAGTGATCAAATTTCTACCCAAACAGGCAGAAACCACAGTCACATGCCGTGCTATAGGGGTACTCCTGGTTCTGGAATTTTGGCTAAAATTAAATTGAACAAATATTTCAAGATTAATTAATTTAAGAAGAATGAAAATTGTGAAATGAATGAATTGATATTTGTGTTTCAGAAGAATTTTTAAACTATTGAAAAGACAAAAAATAGGAAACTTCTGAAGCGCTAGAATGTACGCACATTTTTAGCGACAATGGCTGAGCAAGTTTTTGTCAAATGCCCAGAACAGGCTGTCAAATTCCCGCCTATAGGGAGGTAATATTAAGTCTAATGACTGGGGGGGGGGTGCTGATTGCGGTTAGATTTGACTTGTATATAACCCTAACCAATAAATGTCTAATAATTATTTGAGAGTTGAAAGTCGTGAAAAAATGTTTAAAAATAAGTTAAGAAAAATTTCTAAGTCAAACAGAAAACCAACAGCTAAAACTTAACTCCCGACCTCGTTTTGCTTCACACGGATGTGATGCCTGTGTCAAATATGCTAGCAGCAAACTCGCTAAAAGCTGTTGCAAGAAACTATTTTTATTACTAATTTACAAAATGTAAGAATCTGGTTCCATACTCCAGTACAAATAGTCACTTTCTTTGTATGTAAAGCCAATGTTAAAGGTATGATGTGCAAATTCTGGGGGGAAAGGGAAATTATTTAAAATTATTTAAAAGGTATTAAATATTAAATCTGAAATGAAATAGCTTCAATTCTCATTATTATACATTTGACATTTTGATCAAATTGGTGGTGTACCTGGCTGAATGAAAATGTCGTAGTTAACCCATTGAGTGGTGATGCACCCTACTTTAGTACTTTACACTGACTAATGCCAGACAATTTTACTCCTGAAGGGGAGAGCGCTGGCGCTTAATGGGTTAACTGACCTATCTGCCCATGTGTCTAGTTAACCCATTGAGTGGTGATGCACC